AATTATATGCAAAACGGCAACGTCCTTTGAATTTATTTTCCTCCGTTTCAGGATCTGCTGTGGGAAAAGATTTTCTGTAACAAAGACGGGCAGCCGATGAGCGTCATCCGCTTAAAGGTACAGCACAACACAATAGACACCCCGGTGGCGACAGTGATCGATAATGTCAGCCTTATTAACTACTGTAATCAGTTCCAAATTTGTGGTTAATGTGTCACTGGTGTGTTTTTTACAGGGCATAGTGTCGTTTGCGGATAAAGGCCACCAAGTGATGCTGCAGGGGGTTCACGAGCTGTACGAGCTGAATGAGACGCAACAGCTCTGGGAGGAGAACCTGCGAATAAACCGGCTTGTCTTTATAGGTGAAGACGCACACACACTTTTTTGTGTTTATGCACCTCATACCACTCTGGAACAGTATCACACTCCAGCTGTGTTTAGCTGACTCTGTGGGTTGCTTTGAAAAGCTGTAAAAACAACTTTGTTGATGTTGAGACTTTTGCTCATAGAAACTATTTTTACTCTACCGGTTTACTTTATTCTGTGTTGTAACGTGATTTTGTATTAACAGGACTTTAATTTACTGTGATTCCTTCTACTTTTGATTTATTTATCTCTATTTTGTTGTAAATCACTTTGACTGCATATCAGTGAAAAACACAGTTTTTGCTTTCTTACTACTTAAATTCAGCATGTTGCATTAAACGATTAAAATGGTCTTTTGTTATAGATTTTTAAATCATTCTCTGTGCCCGTATTGACCACATGCAGATAGTTTACTAACGTTTATTCACCATTGTAAAATTGTTTTTCTGGTTATAAAAAAATCATAAATTTTCTTTGCATCCTAGTTTTCTGTCTAGCTTACTTATTGGTTATTAATAACGTTGACGTTACTGTAAATGGAGGCATTTTATCTGCAGGGGAAAAAAATCCTCTACTTTTCATATCTGTGTGTGGCCAAACTTTATTAAAATGCACTTTGGTCTCCACTTTGTTTTGCAGGAAGGAACCTGGACAAGGACATTCTGCAGGAAAAGTTTGTTTCTACAGTGCTACTCGGCTCAGAGAAAAATTAGCTTCAAGCCCTTTTTTCCTCTTCTTCGCTTCAGATTTTGCCTCTGGAGCAAAAGCGTTGGCACTGGCCTTCCTGCGATTGTCATTCAGACTCCTTTTCTACATGAAGATTTGGTAGGGCGGATAAAGTGTTTAGGCACTAGTGTCCATCACAGCCTGCTTTAAAAGCTACGTTTAGAAGGAGTTGTAGATTCTGACCCTGAAAATTTACCCAAAACAAGTCCAGTAATTTAATTAATCTATTGCATTTTTAGAAAGTGGGATTAATGAAATAAACATATTTACAAAGTTAGGAGCCAACCCAGCAATGCACATGCTCTGCTACTTGGGGAATGGATGGTACTTGAAGTGGTCCTACCTATGTTTCTCACTTTGAATATGTGGATTTTAAATTATTCAAAATAAACGTTTGTTTTTCTTCTGAAGGATGTATTCTACTGATTTCCTGATAAACCTACTCAAAACAATTGTTTTTCATCAGTTTCCTGGTAAAATAGCATAACTGCTTGTAAATATTGTTCTGAATAGATAAATGTAAGTAGCACTGTTTTCTTTAAATTAATTTCCTTTTCAAAAAATACACTGCGTCATTTATTTTCTTTTGAATAATGCATTTATTTGACAATACTGTGAGGGGCGCACCTCACAGTATTGTCAAATAATAGCGCTTGCAGCTTTAGTTGATGATTGTAACACTTGATAAATTCGCCCTTGACAAATACAGCTACTTGACAAATACAGCTACTCTATTTTTATTTTTTTATTTTTGGTACTTGTTACTTAAGCCTTCATTGATACAGGTATGTGAGAACCATCTCTTGCGCGCACAGTACGTCCTGTCAGGTGAGGAAATGGGTGGAGTTTCCCCAACTTAGTCATTTGCAATGGAGATGCTACAGCAGCGCTGTTTTAGCACATGTCTGATGTCGGCCAGGTTTGCTTTAAGAACGGCTTTGCATTACATTTGTCGCGATTGTAAAACCGAGGTGCGCGCAAACACAAAGCGCACCGTGCAGCTGTGCCGTTTCCGACTGCGATTCTGATGCTGATGGCCTCGTTAAGGCGACTGCTGCAGCTTTTCTTAACTGGCTGCGGGAAGCCCTACCATGGCCATTTTCATGGTCAAACCACCCACGGGCATCCAGAGGTGGCAAACTAAACGAACCCACAGGGGGTTCCGAGTGAGAAAGCCTTGATTTCTTATCACGTGCTAGGCCTGGTGTTAAAATTCTCAAGACC